CAATTCCTAAAAAAATGAAACCCACTGAGTATAATGATCTCAGACCTATCAGTTTATTACCAATTTTATTCAAAATTTTAGAAAAAATTATAAAGTTCCAATTGACCACTTACCTAGAAAAATTCTTTATACTTCCCGACACTCAATCCGGTTTTAGAAAAAATTATAGTACAACATCTGCCCTACTCAATCTGACAATATTTTAAGTGCCTTAGATAAGAAAATGGCACTAGCCTTAATCTCTATAGACTATTCGAAAGCCTTTGACAGCATCAATCATAAATTATTACTTGCTAAATTAAATTACATAGGTCTTGACAGTGTATCCCTTTCATTTTTCGACAGTTATATCAAAGAACTCAGTGTGTTTTTCTCAATCAAGAAATGTCTCAAGAGACAATGATTCCCTCAGGCGTACCTTAGGGCTCTGTATTGGGGCCGCTTCTGTTCCTCATATATACGTTCGACTTAAACAAAAGTATTGATAATTCTCATGTCCAGTCATTTGCAGACGATACTCAATTGCTCCATTATTTTAACCCAGATAATGTCAATCATACTACTCAAATTTTACAAAACGATGTTAACAAATTAATTAAATACCCTTTAGATCACAATCTACTTATTAATCCACAAAAATCTAAAATTTTATTATTTTGCGCACAGAGAAAAACATAGAATGTAACACAGCTCTTGAACATTCAGATAAATAACCAAATCCTGCAATGTTCTGATTCTGCAAAAATTCTTGGCGTTGTTTTTGATACAAAATTGGTTTATCCAAAAAGGCAATAAAATTTGTGGCATTCTATTTAAGAAATCACAACTTTGATATGTAGGTCAACATTGAGACACCCTGTATAATTACCAAAATTTTAGAAACGTGCCCTCACATGTCACGTATAACATGCCATTAATAGATTAATAGAACGTTTTGAATCAAGTGTTGCAGTGGAATATAGTAAAAATGTATAAATAATCCAAGTGTCACCAATGACGCGAATCAGTTTGAGAGTTTGAGGTTCTATTAAAGTTGCAGGAAAATCCCCATTTAAGTACACGGCAAATTGGAGCAGAAACTGATATATGCAGAACTCCTGTCCAAAGGATTATTCACAAGCATAGGTACCATCCATATCACCTATGCTTGCATGAAGACCTTCTTCCTCAGGACCTCGCAGCTCGAATTTAGTTTAGTAGAATAATGCGGAATAAAGTGAGTGAAGACACTACTTTCCTGGAGAAGGTTCTTTTTAACGATGAGGCAACTTTTAACAGCATAGGTGTTGTCAACAGGCATAACATGCACTAATATGCGACGGAAAACCCTTACTGGATTAGGCAAATAGATTTCCAAAATATATGGAGCTTGAATATTTGGGAAGGAGTTATTGACAGACAAGTTATCGGGCCTTCCTTCTTCGACTACAGATTAAGAGGTACAGATTACTTGAATTCTCTGATCGAGCATTTGCCTTTGCTTTTGGTGGATGTCAACCAACAAACTCGGATGCATATGTACTTCCAACATGATGGCGCACCTGCGCATCATCAAAAAAGCTTATAACATTTCGATCCAAACTTGCACAAATATACAGGCATTTGAAATTTTTCAGACAAAGTACAATTCGCATTTTTGACCACCCTGTATGAGCAAAAATGAAAATTCGAAGAAGTTACAAATAAGGTAAAAGCTGAGGTGTGCAAGTTTTTTTGATACAAAATTCAGCACTCCAAATTTCAAAATGACGGATTGACGGGTTGCCGAAGTGGACGGTTTTTCTAGACAAAACACCTTACATCTCAGTATCTGATTACCAAAACCGCATCTTTTTGGTTTGAATTGGTTTGTCCAAATATGTAATAAAATTTGAGGCATTGTATTTAAAAAATCACAACTTTGATATGTAGGTCAAAATTGGGACACCTTGTATAATTGCCAATATTTTAGAAATGTGCCCTCAAATGTCATGTATAAAATGCCATAAATAGATTTTCCCAAAATGTATTTGTTTATGAGTAATATTCCGTCTATACATGGATGGGCCACCCTGTATATATATATATATATATATAAAAATACAAGTTTGGTTATTATCTCCAAGACTGTAAAGAATCTATCAAAAATGACAAATGTTAAGAATGACCCTGTATTTCAAAAACAAAGCGAGTCATGGGAGTGTTGTTCACGGCACCTTTAATTTCACAAGAAAAGTAATACAATGACATGAAAATTGCCACTATATATATATATATATATATGTACGTATATGGGTAAATAACAGATCCTGCAGCAACAACCAAAATGGGATACCTTTATAGTTCTTAAAATAATTACTGCCAGCAAGGTTTATGTATAATGAAGCCCATTTATGAACCCCAAGTTTAATTAAAGGAAGTATCGGTGTTTGGAAACGAAGATTTCCAGTTCTTTGTTATGGTCTTCGTTACAAACTGGAGACGAGTCTGACTGTGGTTGTTGCAACCGCAGTATTGCATAATGATGATCCACCGCCGCCATTAGGCATAAATGAGGAACAGTTGGATTATCTAATTGTTCAGGGGCATTGCCACCGGTAGCTCTTGAAAACCCTCGTTATGACTTCAGAAATGAATTAATAATTATTTTAATAATTTGTAGGCATCAAAACTTAATATATACATAATACATAAATGATGCAAATTTGAAAATATTTCTGAAATCCACAGCAACTTTGCAATTTGAAATAAGGCACAGGAATATTACAGAATTAATTATATTTGCGTCACAAGTTCATTTTTCTATATGCTAATGATTTTTTAGCTGCTTGCCCCTATTTTCTTTAAAAATAAACTGGGGCACCAATCCAAACCATCTGCTAGATCCCAATGTGTCATTTTAAGATGATGTTAAATTATAATCGATATCCGGTGTTTTTTTAAAATATGACCCTCTACTCTCTTCTTTTTTAATCTTGTGCCCTAGCGGAAAATGTTAAATATAGAAGATGTTTCATTTAATAAGTCGTTTGAATGTAATTTTGTCTATACGGTATGGTCCAGTGCTGAGTGTGTAACGCTTCCTTTCCGCAAAAAGTCCAGAAAAGATGGAATGCAATGAAGATTCCAACTTTTCTGCACAATCACAGAAAGGGCGTTAGCATTAGCTTCCGGTAGCTCAGTCGGTGGCATGAAGACATCTACAGGCGTGTAGCTGTGTGTCGACCATGGCATGGCTAGAGGATAGAAGAACAAACAGAACACAAAAATTTAACAGATTTTATTTAACAGAAAAAAAGGCATTTTCATTACATTACAATTTTACAAAAATAACAAAATAAGTTTTACATCTTTGGCGCTGCTATAACGCTATCGACTTATCTTTCGCTGGTCCATTTTTACTCGACTGAAGCCAGGATGGCCAGGGGCTTGAAAGGGAGGTCCCAGTTATGAGGGGTGACCTCCATATAGTGGCTTCACAACCAGTTGTAGGCGAAGTTAAAGGCGATGGCGCTGCCAAGGTACATGCATGGGTGAAAATATTGGCCAAGGCTAGGCAAAGTGAAAGGGAAAGAGAAAGGGGGTGGCCCCAATCTGGAAAAGAACCGTGTGCATTAGCAACGTGCTCTAATGGCCAAGGCATTTCCAATCTCAGTCTGCCTCAAAAGAGAACCAACGATTTTCTAGATTAGAATTACATTATATAGTTTGATAAAATCAAACCGAAAATTGGAAATGCCTTTCATAAAATAAAATCATGAAATAGCAAAAAAAAAGCGTAGAACAAAATGGTGGTCATCAAAAATTTCTCCACATGCTTCTGATATAAAAACATAATCATCGAATATTCATAATCAACGTACTTATAATTTCACTGAACTATGAATATATATACGCGCACAGAGGTAAAATCGATGTGGATCGATTTCCACCTCGATTTGATTAAAGTTATGGCGAATGATCGAAGTAGTCGAAAATGACGTTCGATGGATATTTTAAAATCGTACAAGAAATAAATCACTTACATATCGATTATCTATAAACTACAGGCAGATCCAGCAATAAAACTGTATAGTATTATAAAACTCACCATTTTTGTCCTATACGGACACACATTCTAGAAAATTCTAGCACATGGTGCTATATAGCCTTGTGCTACAGAGAAGAAATTTCTAGCCGTTGTTCGATCGGCGGCTCAAGTGAAAAGGAAGCGCGAGGAAGATCGCAGATCAGGAACTCCGCATCAAGCGCTCCAAGCGGAAAATTTTCCAAGCAAAAAAGCTAGAGATGGGATTAATGAAATGATAATCGAGAAGTGATTTAATAAATACGATCGGACGGTGAAACCGTTACAAGTGGACAAAGAAGTATTTGTACTTTTTTATTGGAATGTATACTACACTATTTTGAACTACTGATAGTACTAAATATCTTTGATATAGCATATTCCATTCCTAACTAGAATAGTTTTCGAAATATTCGCATTTTGCATTAACATTTAAAAATCTGTGATGCACTCGAAAAACAAGTTGTAGGTTGCCACAGATTTTTAAATTACAACTGCTTATTTAAAATGCGAAAACTACTTTAGTTAGCTATAATATATTTATTTGTCTACGTAGCACTCGACCACCCTGTAGAGAAAAAATACTTTACAAAATTATCTGATAATACATTATCATAGAAACCAAAAGTTAAAAAAGAGCATCATTTAAAATTATGTTGCTGTAGTCTAGTATAAAACTTATAAAACTGCTTCGTCAAAATGTATATAATAAATAATAAGATATATGCATTAACCTGTATACATAGTAGGTAGCACAAATAAATATATCTACTTTTTTAGTGTCTTATTGTAACATTAATCATAGGAATCCTGTATACATTACAAAATGTTTACTACTACCTTTTAGTATTACTAATGATCGGTTTTAATATTAAACTCATATTCGAGTAGCTAGCTTCGTTTTCTAAGAATTAGCTGGTTTTCCTCCTCCATATGCCCTAATACTCCTTCAACAATGAAAGGCGCTTATCAACAGATGATCATATGTTTTGCAATCACTGAAGACGTCATAGTTTTAACTACTGTTGTAAGTCTACTCCTACTTGATTTTTTGCAGTTTTTATCTGTAAAAGAATGAAACAATTACTATTGGAAAATCGTTCTAATTATTAAGTTTTTAACAGCATATTATTTAAATGTGTGAGGATTTATTAATCATTCAATAAGATATGAATCTTAAAACATTTCAGCAAACATATCTATAGATCATATTATTCTAACTATCTTGAACTTACTTTACATTATTTATTATTTATCTAACTGTATGAAAACATATTGTAACAAGTAATTTAACTATGCCTGCATTTAATAACTTCTGCATAAACATACCATAAATCTGTAAGTCCATAGACTACCAAGCATGCTTATTAAAAAAAGAACCTTAGTAAGCTTTTATACACATCTATGGCTGTGCCTGAGCAGAATAGTAAAGGTATAAGCATTCTTGATATTGTGTGAACCCTTAATAAAACTTACAATGTTTGCATGTGTACTATTGGATTGAGATTGTTTATCTTTCTCTTCACAATTATCTGAGTCTTTAAAAGTGAGTGGCCCACTTAATGGCTTCTGTAGCTGCTTTCCCCAACTCAAAGCAGACTGGCTTGGACTACTGTTATCAAACTCCAAAGCATCCTAGAAAAAATGTATTTTGAAATTTTTAAGAAATCTTGGTTTTTTATAAGTGGAGCTGTAAATCCTCATATGGAAAAAAGTGTTTCCACACTGGTCTTGAAAAGTGTATTTCCCTGTCAGCAAACACACTTTTTCTGAGCGAGAAAAATGAAACACTTTCTAGCCACACCAGTATCTAATAAACTTCCTAAAATTGTTCATTCAAAATATAAAAGAAAATAATTATGTATGAAATAATAACAATAATAATAATAATAATAATATTTATTTATTTACTCTAAAATACAGGGAACATGAAACGAGTAAATAAATATATGTCCATAGGAGGACAACGCCTGTGCATGGATCATATGTATGTTGAATTGCAAAAGATGAAAAAAAACATAAAGAGAAAAAAATTATTGGTAAGAATGATAGAGCATTTATTGTGTAATATTTGAGATTATTCTATTAATGTAATTTCTCCCAATCGTGTTAATTATTTTTTTAATTTGTTTTGAAACCTAATGTATTGCGTAATTGTTTTAAAGTACTTGGTAAATATTCGCACAATTCTGAAGCTAAATACAGGTGACATCGTTTCATTAAAGAATGGATCCCTATGTTGAAATTAACCTTTTGCGAAACACTTCTGACAAAATTTTACTCATTACACGAAAGCAAAGTGACGTTTTCCAACTCTATAGAAATAGTACCAGTTTATTTTTCAAATTAATTTTAAAGTCTTACAATAATACAGATATCATCATTTTCAGGTTCTTTCTCCCCTAAATTTTCATTTCGTTCATTTGAATTAAATTCATATTCAATATTATTATTATTACTATTATAAACAATCTGGGTTTTATCAGCATCATCATCATATCGACTATGCATTCCACATAAGGTTTTTTCATTAATTATCGACAATACCTCATCTGACTCTTCATGTTTTATTAGTTTCTTTTTTCATCTGTTAATGATCTTCTTAGCTGCCTCTTTCTATTTTGATAAATCTTTTTTTAAACTTGCTGCCATTCTAAAGATGCTAATAGGCGATGATGCATTGAATTCATTTTCCACTTCTTCCCACGCGTTGTCCTTCTGTGATGTGGAAACCCGATCAGTTTTTTTTCCTTAATAATTTTTGAGATTTTATTCGCAATGAGAATCAGTAATTGGTGTATTTCAAGACTTGCGGACTCGGAAACCCTTTGGTGCTGGCTCATACTGAATAGAACCTACCTCAAAAGGAGACTAGTATTAATATCTCAAAATTTTGGTTTTAGATCCATGTTAATCCCAAGAACAATTCCTGTATAATGTGCTTATACTTACTATTTCATCATCATCACAAAGTCCGGTTCAAAGTTAACAGTCTGCTTAAATAGATAAATAACAACTCATTCCACTGGTTTCAGGTCTTTTCGGAAAAACGCAAGAGTGAATGAGCCCCGGTAGCTGATATTCGATTTGAATTAACACTTTTTGACTAGATGACCAAACCAGAATCTTTTTTTTTTCAAGTCATCGTTAGTTGTCAGAGCGGTCCGTGGGACCTTAGCTCTTGAGTCACAGTGTCAGTTTGTAAGTCTGTCAGGTCTGGTAACCCAGAAACCAGACAATTTTAAGGAAAAAGGGAAGGAAAAGAGAGAAGGAAGAACGAGAGGGCTAGAAGAGAATCTTTTAGGATAGGCAGCGTTTAGGCATTGTTTAAATCACTTCACAGATTTTGATATGTTCACGAGTTAATTTTGATTACAGTGCGAGCCGCGGCCTTTTGTGATTGCGAAATTGCTCGACTGTGTAGTCCACTGACTCACGCAACAGAGGGTTGCCGTGCGATTCCGCTAGGCTATAGGGCCGCTGCGCCTGTTGCTTAATGTAGTCCTTTAGGTAAGGGACATCGAGGTCTCTATTTGGAGTTTCGTTAGAGACATACCATGGGGCATCAGCAATAGTGCGCAACGTCCTGCTTTGCAGAACCTGCAGATTTCGCATGTGTGTTTTAGCAATAAAACAACAAGTCGCACATGCGTAAGTCATTGCTGGTCTTATGACCAACGTATAGAGTCGAATCCTGTTAATCAAACTTAATTTTGAACGTTTACATGATGATGGGTAAAGTTGTCGAAACATAATTTGGAATTTAGTTTTTAGCGCTTCTATATGGTTCCGCCAAGTCATCCCTTTGTCCAGAATGATACCGATATACTTAGCGGAGGATTCCCAGGATCCGCCCAGTCTAATACTTCCTCCACCGCACTTTGCAGCCTGTCATGGACTAGGTGATCAGACCACGACTGAACCACCAATGCAGTATCGTCAGCATCGAGATAGACTTCACAGTTGCTGGGACTAGGGACGTCATGGATGTACAGTGAGTAAAGGATAGGTCCAAGGACCGAACCCTGAGGGACGCCAGCTGTAATCAGCCGTGTTGTCGACAAGACATTGTCAATTTTGATATGAAATTTCCTACCTTCAAGGAAGGATTTCAGTAGTTTTAGAAGCCAAAAAGAGAAGCCCTTTTGGATTAGTTTATACAAGAGGCCCGCGTGCCACACCTTGTCAAATGCTTTTGAGACATTCAAAATCAAGATGCCAGTACTTTCGTTAAGGGTGAATCTTCTGGTTACATGTTCCACCAGCCTAACCGCGTGTAGCTCCGTACTATGTTCAGACCGAAAACCGAATTGCACCTCAGGAATCATATGGTGATCTGACGAGAAATTCTCAAAGTGACGTAGAATCACCTTTTCAGCGAGCTTAGACGGAGCTGACAGCAGGCTAATGGGACGATAATCTTGGGGAAATATCGAAGCCACCTTCTTTGGAATCATTATAACTTCAGCGGTCTTCCACGCGGATGGGAAGTACTGGATCCTTAGAATGGCATTGACTATTGCCACGATATAAGTTAAGGACTTCCACGAAAGCAGCTACAGCGCCTTATTAGTGATTTGATCCTCCCCAGGTGCTTTACGCACTTTAAGGTCTTTAATATGACCTTGAATCTCTGCTGGTGTGCAATGCGGGATCTCAGGAGATGCCGCTGGTGTGCTAAGCAGATTTTCGGTTGAAGAAGCTTCTGAAGAAGAATCTTCTGATGAAGAAAAATCACCAACGATAGCGCGTCTTTCACTGACGCCGTTTGTCCTAAAATATCTCCTGACAGATCTTACGATGTGTTGCTCCTCGTCGAGGTCATTATCAAGATCATAGTTGGGAGAGAACTGTCTTTCCTTGGCATCGGCGGAAACCTCAACCTTCTCCTCTGTAATGAAGACAATGCCTCCAGGACCGTGAATGTGTGGGATTTGTTCACGCCTTCCGTTTTTGAGCGACTTCGCCACCTTCCAGAGAGGAATGCTTGAGTCAACCATCCCCGCCAGAAAGTCGTTCCATTGCTCATTGCGGAATTCATGAAGAGCATTTCTTACTTCATGAACAAGATTCGTCGCTCTGCGAGTGTCATCAGGATGACAAGACCTTTTCGCTTGCTTAATTGCAGCCCTTTTATCAGAAATTTTCTGACGAATGTCTGCTGGCAGAAAAGGTCAGCCGTGTCGCTGCATGGGAAGTACAGCTGCACACTGCAGGGCTTGCTGAAGAAAACTTGTCCACTCTGCTTGAGCCGCATCTATACCGTTCTCATCATCTATGATCGGAATATTGGGGAACTCTCTGAGGAGCGACTTGTATAGCTCCCAACCAATGCCTTTCCTTGGAGGGGTTTCATCCAACAAGGTCTGCTCATTATCCACTTCCAAAATGACGGGAAGATGATCGCTTGAGATGTCATACATGATTCGAGAAGTGATACTGTATCTACAGTTTTTGGATAATGCAAAATCAAGTACATCAGGTGCCTGAAGGTAATTAAATGGGTGGTGCGTCGGTTCCTCAGTACTATGTATGAGGTAGCCACTTCGTATCACATGGTTGTACAGTCGGTTCCCACTGGTGGGATTCAACCTAGAATGCCATGCTCGATGATTGCAGTTGAAGTCCCCTGCCACAATAAGTGGACCCGGGCAGTCTAAAAGGACTTCCAGATCCGCCTCTTGCAGCCTGATACCACACCTGACATACACCGATGTGATTTTTAACGGCACACCTCCCGTAATATTGACCACCTCGGAAGCCGCTTTGATGCTCTGCATCTCAGCGTTTGTGCTTCTGCGGTAGTGAATACCGCGTTTCACTAGCACTGCCAAGCCGCCACCCCGTCCAGTCAATCTATCAGCCCGGATAACATCGTAGTTCGGGAAAGCTAGACGATCTCCCGGAATAAGCAATGTTTCCTGCAGCAAGGCCACATCTATACTTTCCTCCTTTGATAAAATTCCCGTTTTTTGGGAATGTCCTTTAGACCCAAACAATTCCAAAAAAGAATTTTGATAAATGCAG